CCAACCTGGGCTGGTGATCTGTTTCACCCTAGATAATATACATGTTTCAATGCTGTTCTCTTGAAACATCCCACCCTCGCCTTCTCCCAGAGTCCACAAGTCTGTTCTATACATCTGAAGATGACACCACTCTTATGGCAGAAAGTGAAGCAGAAGGAAAGAGCCTCTTGATTAAAGTGAAAGAGGAGAGTTAAAAAGCTGGCTTAAAACTCAGCATTCAGAAAATGAAGATCATGCCAACTGGTCCCATCACTTCATGACAAATAGATGGGGAAACGATGGAAACAGTAACAGACTTTGTTTTCTTGGGCTCCAAAATCACTGCAGATGGGGACTGCAGCCATGAAATTCAAAGGTGCTTCCTCCTTGGAAGAAAAGCTCTGACCAACCTAGACAGCATTTTAAAAAGCAGAATCATTACTTTGCTGACAAAGGTCCGTCTAGACAAAGCTATGGTTTTTCCAGTAGTCATGTAGTGATGAGAGTTGGACTATAAAGAAAGCTGAGTACTGAAGAATTGATACCTTTGAACTGTGGTCTTGGAGAAGACTCTTGAGAGTCCTTTGGACAGCAAGGAGATCCAACCAGTCCATTCTAAAGGAAATCAGTCCTGCAGATTCATTGGAAGGACTGATGCTGAAGCTGAAGCTGAAGCTCCAATACTTTGGCCACCAGATGCGAAAAACTGACTCATTGGAAAAGACCCTGATGCTGGGAAAGGTTGAAGGTGGGAGGAGAAGGGAATGACAGAGGATGAGATGGTTGGATGGCATCACTGACTCGATGGACATGAATTGAGCAAACTCTAGCAGTTATTAATGGACAGGGAAGCCTGCCATACTGCGGTCCAATGCATCATAAAGAGTTGCACACAACTGAGCAACTGAACTGAACTGATAAGGGGAAAGAATATAAAGAATAATAGACATCTATATCTATACCAGACCAGCTGAAATGTAAAGGATGCTGATGGTGACTGGTTCTGACCCTCAAAACTTCAATCAACTGAAGCTTGGAGTCTGCCACAGCCCAAGACCCTTAATGAACATGTCTGTAAATTTAATGTGTTAGTCACTCACTCATGTCTGCTCTTTGCAACCTCCTGGACCACCAGGCTCTTCTGTGTATGGGATTCTCCAGGCAAAAATACTTGAATGCATTGCCACGCCCTCCTCTGGGGATCTTCCCCACCTAAGGATTGAACCCGGGTCTTCTGCTATGGGCAGACTGCTTACTGTCTGAGCTACCACGGAAGCCTAAACATGCCTGTTCCCATAGATTAAAGCTTCCCCACCTTTGCGGTTTACAGAGACACTGCTCTGGAAAGCTGCATGGTGCTCTCCATAGTTCTTCAAGTAATACACTTTTCCTTCCCATGAGCTTTGGCTGGGTTGTATCTTCTGGCTCAACACCCACCAAGATGTAAACTCACTTTTCTGGTAACATTTCTCCACCCAGAGTCCCAACCACCACTAGATACTAATTCTACAGTCAGTCATCTTGCTTCCAATACATGGAAATTGCCTTACTTTTCTGTGAGCAAATCTACCTAATGGCCAGAAACAGTGTCCCTATTTTATCTTGTGAAGCCAGTATGTGTCAAGGAAACTCAGCTCTGTGGATCCATTGTCCTCCAGTTCGATGCCTCGTTTTACAGAAAACACTTGCAAGACTTTGAGGTTTTATTTATACCTCATTTCTGAAGGCTTTTGATACCTACATTAAATACACAGATTACTCATCAGTGCCACTTCTACTTCGAGGTTAAAAATCCTCCAGGTTTTTTCTAACATAACTATTACATGCATTGCATTTAAATATTTGACCATACATTTATTTTGTGTCTCATCAGAGTTTAGTTAATTACACCGTTTTCCCCTGAATAATGCAGTACTCACCCCATAGGATTGAACCCGGGTCTTCTGCTATGGGCAGACTGCTTACTGTCTGAGCTACCACGGAAGCCTAAACATGCCTGTTCCCATAGATTAAAGCTTCCCCACCTTTGCGGTTTACAGAGACACTGCTCTGGAAAGCTGCATGGTGCTCTCCATAGTTCTTCAAGTAATACACTTTTCCTTCCCATGAGCTTTGGCTGGGTTGTATCTTCTGGCTCAACACCCACCAAGATGTAAACTCACTTTTCTGGTAACATTTCTCCACCCAGAGTCCCAACCACCACTAGATACTAATTCTACAGTCAGTCATCTTGCTTCCAATACATGGAAATTGCCTTACTTTTCTGTGAGCAAATCTACCTAATGGCCAGAAACAGTGTCCCTATTTTATCTTGTGAAGCCAGTATGTGTCAAGGAAACTCAGCTCTGTGGATCCATTGTCCTCCAGTTCGATGCCTCGTTTTACAGAAAACACTTGCAAGACTTTGAGGTTTTATTTATACCTCATTTCTGAAGGCTTTTGATACCTACATTAAATACACAGATTACTCATCAGTGCCACTTCTACTTTGAGGTTAAAAATCCTCCAGGTTTTTTCTAACATAACTATTACATGCATTGCATTTAAATATTTGACCATACATTTATTTTGTGTCTCATCAGAGTTTAGTTAATTACACCGTTTTCCCCTGAATAATGCAGTACTCACCCCATAGGCGGAGAAGGCAATGGCACCCCACTCCAGTACTCTTGCCTGGGAAATCCCATGGACGGAGGAGCCTGGTAGGCTGCAGTCCATGGTGTCGCTAAGAGTCGGCCGCGACTGAGCGACTTCACTTTCACTTTACACTTTCATGCATTGGAGAAGGAAATGGCAACCTACTCCAGTGTTCTTGCCTGGAGAATCCCAGGGACAGCGGAGCCTGGTGGGTTGTCGTATGGGTCGCACAGAGTCAGACACGACTGAAGCGACTTAGCAGCAACAGCAGCAGCACCCCATAGGAGATCTTGCCAAAACTGGATTTGACAAGGTAGGGCACAGGTGGGCCTAGGAGAAAGTCCGGGAGCACGACTGCCATCTGGTGGAGCGGAGATTCTAGTTGAGGGCACTGGAAGGAAACATCCAGCCTGAGGACAACCCACCCACTTGAGGATACAAGCCTGAGGCAATGCCTGAAAACAAGCAAAAAAAAAAAAAAATGTCCAAGATGTGGCCTGCGCACTGGAGGCTTCTTGGCAGACATGCCCTCTGAGCAGCCAATCCCTGAGCAGTTGGGTGGGGCCTCCCTCTCTCGCTACACCCTCCCAGCGCCTATTGGCTGGACTGCCTCGGTCACAACACTGATTGGTTGCTTGTGCCTGACAGAATACAGGCCGGCTGCTCGCGCTTCACTTCACCTCGACGCGGGAAGACTCCGTGCCACTGAGCTCTGAACGAGCCTCGGGCCGGGGTTGGTAGCACCGCAGGACATCTGGGAGACTGACCAGAACGCACCCTGCACAACCCTCACAAACCCTTACCCTGACGGCTTCAAATTCCAAGGTAAGAGGCCCCAAATCCCGTCAGCTTTGAAGAACCTGGGTCCTACCTGAAGGGATCTCGCGTCTCGTCAGCTTCAGCAACTACAAGTCCCTTCACCCCTGGAAACACCAAATCCCCTAGTGTTTTGACCCTCAAATACCTAGAGTAACCCCAGTTCCCCTCAGGCTGAGGCACCCACAGAAAGACCAAATTTCCTTAACCTCGGAGACCCTGAATACCTCAGCCTGGGAGCTCTTACAACTCTTTATCCTCGAGACTCCCACTGTCCTGCCTGTTAGAGTCCTAAAGCCCCTTAATAAGAAACCTCCGATTTCCTCAGCCTCAAAGATCCCAAGTTCTCTAACCCTGCACATTCTACACCAGCTGAAACATCCCCAGTCCCCTCTGTCTGAGAATCCCAGTTCCTTCAGGTCCTGTGTCGCAGTTCTCCTCAAGCGGAGCGACTTATCCCTTAAACGTAGAACCCGTGTTATGACCAGATTTTTCCGAGTTCCCAGGCAGAGATCCTCAAAATCCTTCTTGGAGAAATATTCCCTCTCCTGCACTGGAACAGAGCCCTGATTTCAGCCTGACCCCAGTCCAGCAGTTAGTGGCTTCTAGGTCTCCTCAGGACTCCCTCTGTCACCCACAGACACGTCCCACCCAGTGCCTTTCCTCAGAGGGGCTGAATTGTAGGGGAACCATAGAAACCAAATCTAGTTCACATTAGGCTGGCCTGTCATAGCTGGTCAGGATCCGTCCATCCCATCAACACCCTCACTCTGACTTTCCCCACCTTCCTGCCCTGGACACTCCACCCAAGGAAGACAGACCAGGCTCTGGACAGTGGTCTGGGCTATCTCAGCATCTTCTTCTTCCACAGGCATCTTGGCATTGAGGCAGTCCCATGGCCATGAGCCCAAACAGGTCTCAAGAGGAAAGCACTGAGGGAGATGCCAGGAGAACAGAGCGGAAGCCCACGGTGAGAGGTGGAGGCGGCAAAGCTGGGCTCTAAGCCAGCTCTATAGGAAGGACATGGTGCTGGTCCCTGAAGCACCACAAACTGCTTGCCTGGGCAGCTGAGTGAACTTCCCTCTGACCGTACACAGGATGGGAATGCCTGGTCCTGTCTGAGACAGTGGGATGGAGTGGGACAAAACAGGACACTAGCATCATCAACTGCTCTGTGTCCAGGGAGAGTTAGGAAAATGCTCAGTGTTTGTTCAGTTAAGCAGGACACAGGTGGGAAGAAAAGTCTTCATTCCTGTCTCACAGAGACCATCCAGTAGCTTCAGGCTACTCCCTGCACAAAAGGTGGAAGAGAAGTCAGCTCTAAGGTCTGACATATATTAGTAAGTCACTGATGGCATCTACTATTTTCCTTAGGCAAAAGATGCTTTCAAGGACATTTCCATATACTTCACCAAGGAAGAATGGGCAGAGATGGGAGAATGGGAAAAAATCCGATACAGGAATGCGAAAAGGAACTACGAAGCGCTGATTGCTCTAGGTAACAGGAAGTGCTGGGTGCCTGTGAGCATGGGAAACACGAAACAGGTCTTCACCCTCAGTGTTCACTTGGCCCTCTCTTAGGTGGCTTCTTCTGCTCACAGTTCCCTTTTGTGTGGAGACTAACCTCGAGGAAATTTTTATTGTTTTGTACCAAAGTGGGGTTGACCCTGGCAGTGCAGACATCACCTATTGCCTTATTGTACATTCTTCCAGCCCATCCTACTGATTTCCCTGACTTTGTGACACTTTCCATTTCCTCTGTGCTTTTTTCCTCTTTCTTAGAACATATATCTTGCTTCTTTTCAGGTTTCAGAGCCACAAGACCAGCTTTCATGCCTCACTGCAGGCAGGTCATAAAACCCCAGGTAGATCACACTGAGGATTCTGATGAAGAATGGACACCAAGGAAGCAAGGTGAGGGGCCAGAAGGATTTAGAGGTGTCTTCAAGAAACCAGCCTGGGCTTAGGTCTCAACTGCATCTCGGCCATTAGCAAAGAAAACATAATTTTCGTCATTCTGAAGTGGTTGTGGCTGAGTATTGACATAAGCCTGAATGAAGGTGAAGGTATAGGTTTTCCAGTGTAATTCTCGAAAGTTTTATGTTTAAAATTTATCATTCTTTGTAAAAAGAATTATTTTTGCTGAACATCCTTAATGAAAGGCAATTAAACATACCCTAGGCTATAAATTCACCAAAGAGATTTCTAATACTAATCTCATAATAATTCGGTTATTGGATTAAATCTCTTAGAAGAGGAAATGATTAACGTATTATGTCAAGATACATTATTTATGTGTGTATAAAAAATAACACCACTTACCCTAAGGTGAAACTAATTCTTTGTTTTGATTCTCGGAAAGGGTTTGAGAGAACTATTTATTCTCCCTGATCTTTCCCACATTTCACTGACCAGAGACAGCATCAGGTAAATAAAAAATGAAGTACAACCATTATAAAATAGAAGTGAGCAGCTCACTTCCTCTTCCACTGCTCAGAGACTTTAGAAGAGTTAATCTGCTTAGAGTAGAGAAGACAATTTAGATAGTTCTAGGATTCTCCATCTATGGATTTCTGCTCTCCCAGATTTTAAAAAATTATTTATTTAGTTTTGGCTGCACTGGGTCTTTGTTGCTGTGCAAGGGCTTTCTCTGGTTGTGGTGACTGGCTTCTCATTGCAGGGCACATTCAGGCTCAGTAGTTTGTGACACACAGGCTTAGTTGCCCCGCAGAAAGTGGAATCTTCCCGGACCAGCGATCAAACCTGTGTCCTCTGCATTGGCAGGCAGATTCTCATCCACTGTGCCACCAGGGAAGTCCATCTGTTCCCTTAGGTTATCAAAACTAGTATAAGAAACAAAGGTTTTGACATGAAGAGAGATCCTTCATAGGGAATAACACCCACGGCTCACTGTGCCTCTACACATCTTTGCCTTGTTAATTTCTGAGTGCACCCTATTGCTAACTGTGTACACATTGTTCTAAAGCAGATCTACAGAGCTTTTTCATCTTGCATGCCTGAAGCCCTGCACCCATTGAGAAACAATTCTCCAGTTCTTCCTCCTCACAGATCTTTGCAACCACGATTATATTTTCCGTTTCCATGGATTTGATTAATTTAGATACCTCGTAGAAGTGGAATCTTGCAATATTTGTCTTTTTTTGATTGGTTCACTTCACTTAGCATAATATCATCAAGGCCCATCCTTGATGTGGCATATGACAAAACTCTTATTTTAAGNATAATTTTGCTTCTTTCTTTCCAAATGGAAGCCTTTTGTTTCCATTCCTAACCTAAAGCCCTGGCTAGGACTTCTAATATTATGGTTAATAGAAATGTTGAGAATGGGCATCCTTGCCTTGTTTTCTGGATCTTACGATGAATTTGTGGGAGAGAAAGTGGTCTCCCTGTCCTATTCCTCCACCATCTTAGGACCACCCCCTGTTTTCTGGATCTTAGAAGTTTTCAGGTTTTCACTGATGGCTATGATGTTAGAGGTAGACTTTCCATATATGACCTTTATTATATTGCAGCCACTTCCTTCTATTTCTACTTTGTTGAGTATTTTTGTCATGAAAGGATAGTAAATTTATTACTTTATGGACATCAGATGAGGCACAGATTAAGTTTCATTTTTTTTTTAATTTTAAGAAAATTATGTAATGCTCCCAGTGGAAGCATAGGAGTTGATGATACAGAAATCATTTTTCATTTCTCCTTTGGTAATCCTTGTCCTTGTCACTCTCTGGCTCAGAATTATGTGTCCTTAATTAGAATGCCCAGAGTTTAGAAACACTTACCAACCAAAACACTGATTCTCATCGTTCTTTAGGTAAATCTTCTGTGATGACCTTCAGAGTAAAGCACAGTAAACACCAGAAGGTGAGTATTTCCCAAATCCTGTTGCCAAAATATCCTCCTCATGGATCCAGTCACAGGTGAGAATAGGAAGAAACAAACACAGAGATCCTGGAGACTGCTGCCTTCCTGCCCTGAATCTTTAGCACACTGTCTGATATCATCACCACCTTTATAGTTAGTAAGAACAACAACAATAGTAGGCTGTTCTATTGTTACATTATTTTCACAATATTTCAGACTGTAAGCATTTTATGTGAATAAACTTACTTAAACCTTAAAACAGTCCTACAGTACCTATAAGCAGATACATAGCTATCACCATTATAGATCAAAAAAATGAGGTAGAAAACATTTGATTATATGCCTGAGATCACAGTATCACTGGTAGTGCAATCTAATCCAAAGCATATTCTCTAAACCCCTTACAAACTGATTAAAACTTCCATAGTTCTATGAAGTTTATTCATACATCTTTATAGCATTCATCTGAGAGATGTCTTCAACTTCAGTTCTTTTGTGCTGTGCTAGGGAGGGGTATGCTAAGACATCTGACTAAGGGAAGCTTAAGGATATGTTGGGCAGTTTGTAGAGTGGACGGTCCAAGATGAAGAAGCTAAAGGACATGTTGGAAAGTTTGTAGAGTGTGCGGTCCAAGATAAAGAAGGTGACAGGATCCCTACCTCAGAACCTCCCACACCAATAAGAGGAAGCAACTTGCAGTCCTGACAAGCCTCGGGTTTATGACTGAAAAGCAACAAATAAGAAAATAACTGAAGGACTTCACATAGATTACCCGCTTTTGAGTAGAAACTCATCATCTGGGCATCATTTCAAATGCTCATTCTTGCAGGAGGGAGTAACAAGTCCTTCTCCTGAGCTCTGATTAGGCAACTCTCCTGTTTGGAATCATTTGTTTAGCCTACCTCTGTGTTGTGAGCTTTAAGAGCCTCGCCCGTACCTGTTAATTCTCAGAAGTCCAGGCCCAGCTCAAAGCCCCTGAGGGCCCCCTGAATGTTTTATGAATGAGTGTCTCCACATTTAAACATTCATCTAGGAGAAGGAATGTCAAAGAATGCTCAAGATAGTATCTGTGAGCTAGACCTCAAATACAGAGGCAGTTGAAGGGATAAATTGATGGCAGGGATGTACGCTCACATTCATACTGTATTAAATAGCTCACACAATGATTTCTTGAAATGGTGTTAAATTTCATGTCCACTGTAACATTAAGAATTAGAATGTATACCAATTTATGGTCAGGAAACTGAGGAGAATCAGCTAGTCGTACAGCCTTGTTCAAGCAGAATTGATGAGACCAGCTACTTTAATTCCAAACATTGTCTCTAGGACATGGTAACCTGCAACTTTCAGCTCATTTTCTTTATCGTCTAAATGTGTCTCTGCTGATCATCTTTTCTCTTCTCAATCTCACTGCTTTGTCACCTTATTTTCCGGTTGTGTTTTGTCCCCTCTGTAATTTTCCATACTTCCTAGTCCATCAAAGCTCCACTAATTAATAGAACACCCCCCCCCCCAGATTTCTCTATGAGCCCTTACCCTTTTGTTTCCCTGACCTCCAGCTATTCTCTCTGCCTTGTTCTCACTTTTATGCAGAAAGTTGAAGGGAAAAAACCTTAAGGTATGAATTCTAGTTTTGGTTCACTACCCACTTAGGTCCTTTTTTTCACTCCAGTGTTCAGACCCACCCTCCACCAGGTATGTCCAAGAATTGAAAAAGTATTAACTAAAGTCATGCATGTGGAAACACTTCATAAAGTCCTAAAGAACTAAAAGGATGCATGTTGTCTTTTACTCACATGGAAGGGAATGCCCAGGGCACCATTAAGTAAGGAATCTAGTTTGAAGGAATTGCCGGGAGCAGCAAAATTGCTGAAGACAAGTGGCTCCAAGCAAGTGCCCCGTTCCAGAAAAGCAAGGACCCCTGGACAGCACCCCAGACAAAAAGTCGGTAAGAGAAAATTTGGGGAGTTCCTCTAATTAGTCCCTCTAATCCCTGTAGAAAAACTAATAAGTATGGCCTAAGTGTGTGGCATGGACTTTGGGTAGGCATGGACTTTGGGTAGGCGTGGGTTTAAGCTGGACTGATCTGAGACATGAAGTTAGCACTGGGGCCTTGGGAAAATCTTATACATTTTCTGAGGTCCTGATTGCTATCTGTAAAGTGAAGATAAGGATACATAACTCATACAGTGCTTGAAAGCCTTACATTAAATGCAAAAGTCTGACACCTACAAGTAGTTCAATAAATCCAACTGTGATAATAGGAACCTTGCTTTGTTAGTGTTTATGCCCAGACCTCTGCTCAATGCCTTATGTGTCATTTGCCCTTAACATATATTTTCTGAGTAGATATGTCAGTGAACTATTTCCTAAGTAGGAAGGTTGGGAAGTTAAACCTACTAAATGGGAAGTGCAGGATGCTATCACTGAACTGGGCATCTGTGGTCAGTGTGGAGCCTCAGTCTCCTGAACCAGTAGTTAAAGGGAGAAGAAACAAAGTATGGAGAAGGGACTTCCTGGGGGTTAAGTGGTTAAGACTCCATGCTTCCACTGCAGGAGGTGTGGTTTCCATTCTTGGTTGGGGAACTAAGATTCCACAAGCCATGCAGTGTGGCCAAGAAATAAATAATGTAACATTAAAATATAAAATTACAAAAGTAAAAGTTTGAAAAATACACGTAAGAAAGTTTTAACAAAGTGCATAGATGGACAAGTAGGAGATCTCACACTTTCTGATAAAACAGGGACTAACTCCCCAGACCCCACCAGCCTTGCTTAGCTTCTGTTCTCCATCTTAGAACTCAGAAGAAAGGAGACTGGAGTGAAGAGGTACAATCTACGAGAAAGAAAGGGCCACGTGTACCAAGAGGTCAGCGAGCCCCAGGATGACGACTACCTCTGTGAGTGACCTCACTGGCCCACTCCCGGAGAAGGGGCTATGAGGCCTTGGTCCACTAACCTCACCCCAGCATTTGGTCCCCCGATCATCCCCTTCCTCTATGACTTGGGGTGCAGGATCGAGGCCACATGCCATGAGTGCCCCAGTTCTTTCTGAAGGTCGTTACGACCAGCAACATCACTATACCTCCTCTCATCCCTGTTCTCACCTCCAGATTGTGAGCAGTGTCAGAACTTCTTCATCGACAGCTGTGCTGCCCACGGACCCCCAACCTTTGTAAAGGACTGTGCAGTGAAAAGGGGGCATGCCAACCGCTCAGCGCTCACCCTGCCCCCTGGGTTAAGCATCAGGCTGTCGGGCATCCCTGACGCTGGGCTTGGAGTGTGGAACGAGGCGTCCGATCTGCCGCGGGGCCTGCACTTTGGCCCCTATGAGGGCCAGATCACAGACAATGAAGAGGCCGCCAACAGTGGATATGCCTGGCTGGTGAGAAGCACCTGTTTCCCTGTCCTCTGGCCTCTAATCTCTTGTGTGTGGTGGGGGGTACTTCATGTCTACATGCGAGGACGCAGATGGTGATAACACGGTCGGCAATGATACAGTCAGTGCTGTGTACTGTGTGCACTGGGCGTGAACACAGGACCTCCATCTAAAGGTCAGAGGAGAAGTGGGGACAGTATGGTACAGGCACACAGAAGTGACTCCTCCCTTGTGGAGCCCTTGCCTTCAATGAACCAAGAGACTCAGACTTGGAATGATGAGTAAGGAGCTTACCGTGTGGTCTGACTGGCAGTTGAATCCATGCAGGCTGAAGAGCACCAATGACTGCAAAGGGAAATAGCTCTTCTATTACTTCCTTTGAAAAAAAAAAATAAAAGAGAGAGGAAAGCTTGTAACTCTTTTTCTGACACTCAGATCACCAAAGGGAGAAACTGCTACGAGTATGTGGATGGAAAGGACACGTCTTGGGCCAACTGGATGAGGTGGGTGCAGTGAGTCTGCAGTGTGTAGACATTGATACTCCCTCAATCCCACACCCTTTCCTTCTCAACCTGGCTCACTCAACAGCTTTCACATCTTCTTTGCTCTTTTCCCTCCATATCATGCTCTTTCATTTCAAAAGACACTAGAAAGAAGGAAATAAAAATATAGCATGTGCCGTCAAGATACAAGTCTATATGCTCAATAAAAGTGGGGGACTTGAAAACAACTTGAGGAGTCTAGATTCACCAGGGACACTTAATTAATTGACACTTACCAAGCACTTTGTTTCAGTTTAGACAGTGAACTTCATTACTGAAGCAGATCACACAAGCCATGTCCTTTTGGAGAACATACTGCAAACAGACATTAGCCAATTGATTTTAGGAACAGTAACCTTATTTTTTCTCTCTTTGAGTAACTACACAGTGCCAGGATAACCTAACACAGGAGACCTTGACTCTATGTGGGCAACAACCTCCTCAGGCTTGGTTCCAGTGAGAAGTGGGCCCTGAGGCCTCAGAAGGAATTGGGGGCAGGATGGCCCTGAGCAGGGCCATTCTCTGAGGGCCTCTCCTTTCATCAGGGCAGGCAGACAGTGAATAAACTATTACTGTTCCGTGTCTCAAGCTATCTCAGAGCTCTCTCCAAGTTTCTGTGGGAGTGGGTGGGCAACTGAATAGGACCCTGGATACATGTGGGGAGATGGGAAGAAAGCCTCAGGAGAGAAGGCAGGCTCGGGTGAGTGCTGAGGGCTGTGTGCTAGCCAAGGAGCACAAAGTCCTGTGGATGAAAGAGAACTTAATTCAGAATTTAGAGGAGCTGGAGGTCACCAGCCTCACAGACAGTCCAGGTGGAGATGAGTCTGGAACTGGGCTCCGGAAAATGGCTAATTAGGTAAGGAGAGAAAAGCATGGGAATTCACATGGCCTGGTAGAAGGTATGAACAGGAGGTCCACATGAGGGGCGGCCTCAGAGGCGGAAGGCAAGGAGCTGGGCGTGGTCGGAGAGTGGAGGGCACTCATCATCTGAGGTTTCTTTCCCTTTCCCGGCCTCGACCCCAGGTATGTGAACTGTGCCCGGGACGACGAGGAGCAGAACCTGGTGGCCTTCCAGTATCACGGGCAGATCTTCTACCGAACCTGCCAGGTGATCAGGCCGGGCTGTGAGCTGCTGGTCTGGTACGGGGATGAGTATGGCCAGGACCTTGGCATCAAGTGGAACAGCAGGGGGAAGAGTGAGCTTGCGACTGGGAGAGGTGAGTGTCACCCCTCTTCCAGCACCCCACCCCATCCTGGGATCCTCCATGGTCCGATTTCTAAGCAGAGTACAATCCAGTCCAAAGTCAGTAGAGTTGCAATTAAAATGCCTCAGAATTTGATTCTTTTCATATGATTGTTAGGAAAAAATTTTTATATTAAATATGTTAGTTCTAATTTTTAATATTTCATGCAAAAAAAAATATGTAACATCACCTTCTGCTGAAAGGCTTAGAAGCAAAAAGCAAGTTTTCTAGCACCTACCAGCTCTCTCCCCTTTACCTGTTTCTTCCTCATTTCCTCCCATTTCTAAGAGACACATGTACAGTGATTTGCATTCAGTTACTGTTCCAATTTGTTGTCATGTGAGTTCATGCTCTGTGCCAGACAGGGCTCCCTGCACCGAAACAGACAGGACCACTGCCCTGGGGCAGCATGGACTTCATACCAGACAGGGGCTGGTGCCCTGAGGAAAACCAGTGCAGGAAACGTGCCTCAGATCAGCATGAGCAGAGGATGGGGTGTGGCGTAGGATGCTGGGTCAGGGTCTCTGCAGAGATAACACCTGTGGGAAAGGATTCCAGGCAGGGGAGCAGCCAGTGCCACAGCCCCAGGGCCGGGAAGAAAGGACATGCCAAGGTTCGCGGGAGGAAGCACAGAGGGAGAGGAAAGAGGCTGGACGGGACACAGAAGCCTCAGGGCCTGTGTCCACGTGCAGGCCCCAGGGGTCTTCCGGGGTGACACAGAACAACCGTGTGGCTTTCAGCTGCAAGCAGCATGTTCTCTGTGCTAAGACAATGCTTTGGTTCATTTTTTGGGAAGAGACAGCAGCGGGGTGTCCCCTCAGAGGTCAGTTCATTGCCAGACATGAGGGGAGAGTGGGCTGGCTGACGATGCTTGGGAGTGAGGGTGTGAAGAGTCTGACTGGAGACGTATTTTTAAACAGGGCTTCCTAGTGCATGTTGAATGGACTAAGACTGAATCAAAGAAATGAGGTATGAGTACTGGTGAGGCTTGAGAAAGGATACGCCTTTATTTTATGATTTATGGGAAACTGAGAGAGGAGCAATTTGTGAACCAATTGGGGCAGCAGGAGCCAGAGACCTGTAGTCAGTGGGACCTGGGCTGCTCGGTCTCGCCCAGTCTGAAACCCACTTTCTGCAGAGATCGGCACAAAGGCTGCTCTTTGAACAAGGAGCCACAAATTCAGCTTCACTCACACCTGCTCTAACCATCCCCTGTGCTGCCTCATATGCAGAGAGCTCCAGGCCAGGCGCCCCTAACTTAATAGATCCTTTCCCCTCACAGGGAGCCTCTCAGGAGATTCCACCTAAGACATCAAGTCTTATCTCTCAGTAGGGTAAACACCTGTGGCCACTGTGACATGACTTTTCAGACACTTACACGCAGGGAAAGGTCCCTATAGATCCATCTCTATCAGGAGAGACGCTGCCTCTGATGCTGCTGGAAGGTCCCTATCTGGGTGATATGTAGAAAAGGCCCTTGACACCAGCTTCCTGGATTTCTGTAGATGCAGAGAATAAGAGTGGAATGGAAAAGTGGACTATAAAGACACACTCGATGGGAGACAAATCCTGCCCTTTCAACACTTAGATGATTAGTGGGGCAGACCTGACCATGGCAAACCAGATACCTGACCAAAAGCTTCCTCTTTCAGCAGAACCAAAGCCCAAGATCCACCCATGTGCCTCCTGCTCTCTGGCCTTCTCCAGTCAGAAATTTCTCAGCCAACACATCCAATGTAGTCACCCCTCTCAGACCCTCCTGAGACCATCTGAAAGAGACCTCCTCCAACCAGAGGATCCCTGCCCAGGCAATCAAAATCAGCGATATTCAGATCCACAGAGCCCGAGCGACAAACCTGAGGGTCAGGAGGCCAAGGTCAGGCCCAAACCTTTGCTGAAAAGCATAAGGCTGAAGGGGATTTCAAGGGCATCTTCCTATTCACCCGGAGGACAAATGGGGGGTTCAGGGGTGTGTGACAGAATGAAAGACGAGACCAGCACAAGCCAGAAACTGAATCCGGAGGACACAAGCACATTGCTCACGGGGGCAGGTGTCTCAGGGATTATGAGAGTCATGTACGGAGACTGTCGGCAAGGCTCCAAGGACAGGTCAAGTCTCATCACACATGAGGGGACACACACAGGGGAGAAGCCCTATGTTTGTGGGGAGTGTGGGCGAAGCTTCAGCGATAAGTCAGTCTTCATCAGACACCAGAGGACACACACAGGGGAGAAGCCCTATGTTTGTGGGGAGTGTGGGCGAAGCTTCCATCACGGGTCAAATCTCATCAGACACCAGAGGACACACACAGGGGAGAAGCCCTATGTTTGCGCGGAGTGTGGGCAAAGCTTCAGTGATAAGTCAAATCTCATCAGACACCAGAGGACACACACAGGGGAGAAGCCCTATGTTTGCGCGGAGTGTGGGCGAAGCTTCAATCGGAAGTCCCATCTCATCACCCACCAGAGGACACACACAGGGGAGAAGCCCTATGTTTGCAGGGAGTGTGGGCGAAGCTTCAGTCGGAAGTCTCTCCTCATCACCCACCAGAGGACACACACAGGGGAGAAGCCCTATGTTTGTGGGGAGTGTGGGCGAAGCTTCAATGATAAGTCAAATCTCATCTCACACAAGAGGACACACACCGGGGAGAAGCCCCATGTTTGCAGGGAGTGTGGGGAAAGCTTCAGTCAGAAGTCCCATCTCATCTCACACCAGAGGACACACACAGGTGAGAAGCCCTATGTTTGCAGGGAGTGTGAGTCATGAACAATAAACCACACCTTAGCCACAGGAGGATTACTGCAGCCACCCCATGCCTCAGCTCTAAGGGGGCCTCAGAGGAGGTCTGTGACCCGTTACTGTCCCCAGGAGTATGAGGAGAGACTTCCCAAGTGGTCCAGGGGTCAAGACTCCAATGCAGAGACCCACGTTCAATACCTGATTGGGGAACTAGCTCCCACATGCTGCAACTAAGACACAGCACAGCTGAATAAATAAATATATAATAAATATTTTAAAGAAAGAGTGTGATAAGCACAGAATTACTTGTTAAATAGACCTTCCACTTTCGTGACATGAGAGGAGGTAGATACACAGCAGAGGGTTTCTTAGGTGTTCTGGAGATGTTCATGCCAATTGCCTTCGTGGTTTTTTAGTACTCCTAAGAAATTTTGTCTCCAAACAAATCTGAAGCCCAGACTATGTACTCATTCCACCCTTATCACTGAAAGCAGTGGAATCCAGTCATAGCTGAACCCCTCAGAAGGCATAATTCTGGAACCAACTCAGTTAGGTCACTGGACAGTCAGTTCCTGGGTCCAGGGAGAGGAATCTAGGGTTTGAGACAGACTCACCAGGGAAGGGAACTCCCCGGCCTCCTGGGAAGTGTGGCCTCTCCTCCTTATAGACCTCGGCTCTCCTTTGGCCTCTCCTGGGGGCCCTCTGGTTTCCTCTGACTTCTGTAGCCGCAAAGGTGAAGGCCACGTGCACGTGTGTGTGTGTGCATGTGTGTGCCTGGCTCAGCATGGGCCATCTGGTCTCTGCCGCTCCCTCAGGGCCATCACAGCATCTGGACTCCAGATTCGACCGCAGGGGTCCAGGTCTCAGCCCTGCCCCCAGCAGCTGTGTGAGCTGGGGCAAGATGCTCAACCTCTCTGTGTCTCTAATCTCATCTGTGATACGAGGTGGGAGCACCAGCATTTGGTCTGATGCGTAAGCACAGGCGGAATCTGGCAGAGGCTGGCTGAGAACGCAAGCCCGACCATTGCTGTTCTTTGTGTTTTTTTTCTTCAATCTTTTCTTATTTTTTTAATAGAAGGATAATTGCTTTACAGAATTTTGTTTTCTACATGTCCTTCAGCCCCCACACCTTCCAGGTCTTCAGAGCTAGACGAGGAAGGGGCTGTTTAGGCACTGGGCTGCCCTGATGAGGGGGTGTGAGGTCTGGGGTGCTAAGGGAGGGCGACCTCCCTTCCCACCCCTGCCGTTCCTGCTGAGCTGGGCAGCCCCAGGGCCCATCCACAGACAGGCAGTGACCACAGTCGTCCCCCCTGCCGAGAACAGAGCCTGGAGCCGCGTGTGCAGGAAATCCCTGTCCGGCCCCCATCCCACCGCCACACGGAGGGTCCTTGAAGCCCACACCGCGGCTTCTCTATGCATGGGCCTTGTACCTGTGCCCGTGCACTCTGGGCAACGCTGTCGCGACCTTGAAATTGTTAACCATGGAATAGTTCATCCTTACACTTCCCTTTCATGAGTGAAGTCTGATGGGCCCCGGGGTGCGCTGTGAGCAGAGCAGATGCACACACAGCACGGGTCCCAGGGTGACCAGGCTGCACGAGGGGACAAGGTGGACACAAAGCCCCCCACCCTGGGTGAGTGAGGGTGGGGACAGCACCAGGAAGCCACGCTTGCTCAGACCCGGAACTGAGCTCCGACACAGAGTGGGGGCAATAACGTTCTTAAGGTCGGCCACACCCTCCCCTCTGTGAATGACCTCTGCCCTGGCCTGATCCTTCCAGAAGGGGTTCAGGAGGCTGAAGTCTGCCCGGCCACCAGAAGACACCAAGGGGAGAGTGGGCCACGGGGGGGTGGGGAAGAGTGAGAACCCCAGGACCCGGGGCAACAGCCCTCAGTTCCCTCCGTGTGCCAGGTTTGTGAAGCGTCTCTACATGAACCGTGTCAGTAATAACCACCCACTTTTATTTTCTCATTTCTTTCATGCTTCTTAAAGGAACGCGTTTGTCTGTGGCTTGGTTTCCCTTTAGGAAGGGAAGCCGTATAGATTCCCCATCTTCTGTGGCTTTAGGCAGGGGCCACGGGAGGGAGAGTTAGGGGTGGTGCAGGCAGAGGGGCTTCAACTGAAAAACGGTGGGGACCCAGAAACCTGCAGGGGCTTCCCACCTGCATCTCCCACCAGAGCTGGGCCTGGAATCCCCTGGAAGGCTGAGCAGGTCAAAGCTTCTCCCTCCCCTCCCTCCCCTCCCTTCCCCTCAAAAAGCTGACTCCTGGGCCAGCCCACAACACCCCCAAATACCCCATCACCCACAGCCCCGCACAGGCCCTCCCTTGCAGAAGTGAGACGACCTGCATAGCGGCAGGGATGGTGTGTGACCCCAGAGCTTAGGGTCTCAGCTGACCTTGAGCAAGGAGACTGGTGCTTAAAAGCCTCCCAGCCCAGGGAGCTGCCAGCAGCCACAAGCCACAATCTGAAGCGGAGTTGGGGGGGATGGGGATGCGAGCTGTCTGAGGTCCCATCCTGTCCCCACGACAGCGGCCAGGCCTCACCTGACACTGTGACTACCCTGCACGGGCACACAAGACACCAGCAGTCACGGGGACGGACAGCCAGCTGCCTCCGCCACACGCTCCACCCTGACCACAGCGGCCCCACGGATGTACCAGCCCTGCCTGCGCGCGGCTCTGCTTGGCTGCCAGGGCTCTGGACCCTGGGTGAGTCGGTGAGGGCAGAGCTCCAGAGGCCAAGCCTGTCTTCAGCCTCCAGACTCGCCCTGGTTGCCAGACTCATGAGCCCAACCGGTATATGAAGCCTCTGGGAAAATAACACCACAGACACTGACCTCAAAGCTCAGACTCCTGAAAACTTACTAAACAGGTTGTTTTTAGTCTTTTTTTAAAATAGGAGGTTGGCAGGAAGGGGGAAAGGGAATTACTTCCTTGGTGGTACAGTGGTTAAGAATCCACCTGCCAATGCAGGAGACACATGTTCAATCCCTGATCTGGGAAGATCCCACATGCTGTGGAGCAACTAATTCCATGCACAACTACTGCAGCAATGAAATTAAAAGATGCTTACTCCTTGGAACAAAAGTTATGACCAAACTAGACAGCATATTAAAAGGCAGAGACCTTACTTTGCCAACAAAGGTCCATCTAGTCAAGGATATGGTTTTTCCAGTAGTCATGTATGGATGTGAGAGTTGGACTATAAAGAAAGATGAGTGCCAAAGAATTGATGCTTTTAAACTGTGGTGTTGGAGAAGACTCTTAAGACTCCCTTGGTCTTCAAGGAGATCGAACCAGTCCCTCCTAAAGAAAATCAGTCCTGAAAATTCATTGGAAGGACTGATGTTGAAGGTGAAACTCCAATACTTTGGCCACCTGATGGGAAGAGCTGACTCATTTGAAAAGACCCTGATGCTGGGAAAGATTGATGGCAGGAGGAGAAGGGGATGACAGAGGATGAGATGGTTGGATGGCATCACCAACTCAATGGACATGAGTTTGGGTAAACTCCAGGAGTTGGTGATGGACAGGGAGGCCTGGTGTGCTACAGTCTACAGGGTTGCAAAGAGTCAGACACGACTGAGCAACTGAACTGAACTGATTCTTAAAGATCTTATTCATAAAATCGAAAGACAAGCCACGATCTGGGAGAGAAGTATTTGCAAAACCCATATCTGATAAAGGATTTGGACCTCAAAATAGATGAAGACCTCTTGAACAATCCCATAAAAAATGAGTAAAGATCTAAACAGACACTCAGCCAAAAAAAGATATACAGATAGTCAAAAGCAAAAACATGCTCAACATCATATACCATTAGGGAATTACAAATTAAAATCATGAGATATTGCATCACACATATTATTAGGACTGCTAAACTCTAAATACATGACAATACCAATTCCTGGAGGCTGAGAAACAGCAGGGATGTCCCCTCACTGTTGGTGGGACACATGCACAGCCACTTTGTAACACAGTTGGGCAGTTTTCTCTGAAGCTAAACAAACCTCACCTTGGGATCCAACAATCATTATTTCCAGTATTTAAGAAACTGCTTTGAAAAATCCATGCCCAAATGCAAACAAAGATGGACTTATGCACAGCAGCACTATCCATAATAGTTAAAAACTTGAAGGCAAGTAGAGTAGGCCACTCCAAAATATGCCTCTCTGGTGTGAGGATTATTTCAGTTAACTTCAAAGGTGGGGGGGGGAGGACTTTCAGTAAACTAAGTAGCAATTGCCTTTTGTGAAGGACATTTACAACAGAGAAATCTCTGCATTTAAGGGTTGCCTCTGTTTGCACCAGAAATAGAAGGATAATTAACTCAAGTAACTTATCAATGGAGAGGTCCTGTCTTATATCTACCAACAATCATACCCTTCTTTACTGGGTCTTACATGATGAACTTCCATAATTGGCTTCTCCTATTCCCCAAGGTCTTACTTCTGTCTTCAGCTGAAGATGGTATTTAAGGTGATGGCTTAGGATATTTCAGGGGGTGACTCAGTTTTCTTTGGTAGCTCCCCTGTATACAGTAGGCATTTGTTGTTTTAGTCACTAAGTCATGTTCAACCCTGGGATCCCATGGACTGTAGCCCCCCCAGGCTCCTCTGTCCATGGGATTCCCCAGGAAAGAATACTGTAGTGGGTTGCCAACTCCTTTTCCAGGGGATCTTCACAACCCAGGGATCAAACCCATCTCTCCTGTTTTGCAGGCAGATTCTTTACCACTAAGCCACCAGGGAAGCATAGAGGAGGTATGTTTCTGTTTTTTTCTCCTGGTGATTTGCCTTTTACTATGGAAGGGCAGAGTGAAAATTGTTTTTCCTCCCATACACATGCAATGGAGTATTACTCAGCAGTAGAAAGGAATGAACTACCAACCCTCAAATGCATGGTTAAATCTCATGTGCATATTACTCAGTGAAAGAACACAGTCTGAAGTGACAGCACACAGTATGACCTCATTTATGAGGGGTGGGCTTGGTTCGGTGGGTCCTCTTGTTTCCTGGATCTCAGAGGGAGCAGGCTCCAGGGAGCCAGGGAGTTCTGCTGCAGATAAGAAACTCAAACTGAAATAGAGACGAATATCTTATGATTCTTCTCCAAAATAGTTACAGATCAACTGGAAACCACATGAAATGAAATGACTGCAAATACAAACTGTAAAACTTACACCAAATTCACTCAGATTTATTAACAGACATTTAAAATGCAAAACAATCAAAATTACATGTATATATAAGAAAATATACATGACCTTGGCTTTGGTCTGCAGATCATGAGCTTTGAGTTTTAACACAGAAAAAGCCAATATGCAAAAGAAAAAAATACTGTGGACTTTATAAAGTTAAAGATTTCTCCCCTGAAAGACCTTATTCAGCAAGTCTAAAGACAAGCCACAAACTGGGAGAAAAATATTTGCAAACACATATCTAATGAAGGATTTGGACCTAAAATAGACAAAGACCTCTAAAACAGCCCCAGTTTTAAAAAAAAAAAAAAAATGGGTAAGGAGCTAACAGAAACACCTGACTAAAGGAGACATGCAGATGCTAAATATTATACAAAAAGTATACAAAAGCATCTTACTACTAGGAGATAACAATGAAAATAATGAGATAGCACACCTCACCTATTAGCACTCTGTGCTCCAAATATATGACAACAGCGATTGCTGGAGGCTGAGGAACAACAGAAACTCTCCTTCGTTGCTGGTGGTTTTGCAGGAAGGGAGACCGCTTCCAGGGCTGAAACTGGGCTCTTGTCTAACACTCAGAAACAAATTGTCTGAGGAGACACGTGTGCTGACAAAGAAAGAGATTTTATTGGGAAAGAGCGCCCAGGCGGAGAGCAGCAGGGGAAGGGAACCCAGAACAGC